TTGTTTTTAAAGTTTAGAGGGAGATCCTTGCCTCGTAGAGTTTTACCAGCATCCAACAGTGCTTCCATGTCGGGCAGATACAGAAAGATCGCAATTACAGGTTGGAGTGCATTCGGGATTGGTCTTTCTCAAATGGCTTTCTAGGTCAACATTGAACTGCTTTCAAGAACAAGTTATCCACCCGTTGCTCCGAAAATTCAACATTGTAACAAGAAAGCTACATCCGTCGCACTCTTTCTGTGTTTTCTTGTGGTTCCGTCGTCAAATTGTAAATTGGAAGGTTGGGTTCTCTATCATGAACTTCCTTTTAAAAGGCCAGGAGCATTAGACACAAACAATAGGTAACATTGGAAAAAATAGTAGAAAGCTGAATTTTTCAGGAATGCTTCATAACGTCATTGCCATGTACAAAATACAAAGTTCTGCAAATTCTACCTTGTGACATTTTCAAAATGGCCGCCAATTTCAAGATGGCCGCCAAAATCATTCAATTGATTATGCAAACAGATATTTTGTAAATAATTATGCCATGTGATATATCAAATGAAAGCTCATCTTACAGGGATTCCACATATATTGACATCATGCCTTGTTGCATTTTCAAAATGGCCGCCAATTTCAAAATGGCCACCATTGTCCTTAAAATAATCAAAATAATCTCACGAAAATATTTCTTTTTAATTAACCATACCCTGTGATATTAAAAGAAAGCTCTTCTCACAAGTATTCTAAACATATTACTTTTAACACCGCACATACATAAGACAATTAATTATGGCATGATAACCACACATTTTATGCTTGTGCTTTTGGTACCAGACATCAAATATATATCCACTTACATTAACCGCTAGTATGAAAGCAGAGAATTGGTTGATATCCTTAGAAGCTTTTCCTTTGCTGATGAATATAGAGAGGTCCAACCCTTGTATTATGCACTTCTTTCAGGCGACAAATGTTTGGATATTGAGGGTGAGCTTGTCAATTTCATATTTGACAATGCTGATATCAATGTTAGCACTACCATTGGCTTTGGTACGTGACATGTTTTAGGTGGAATTGGTTGTGTGACGCCAGTCAGGAAAGAGCCCATTCAGATATCTATACCTCGCTCCACTCACATCATGACATCAACTGATGTAGCAGCTGAGGGCGCAAAGATCCCTGTCAAGGTATACCTCAAACTTTCTACATCGGGCCTACAGTCAAGATTGGACCAATTGAACTACCCAAACCAACTGTGCCAATTCTTTGCTTGACAAAGCCTTTGGACAATCTATGGCTAGCACGTTTTTCATTTGATATTCCACTCTTACAACATCCATCATGGAGCAGATTTATGCAGTCAACTGTAACTGAAGACAACAACGAAAGAAGCAAAATTCAGATTTTGCCATTTGTCACCCAGGACCTATTAAGGCCCGATACCATCTACTCTGCTCTAGCGTTTGTACAGTTGTTGGCTGAAAACCAACATCTTGGGATTTGTCCAGTAACATTTGACCAGCCACTCTACATTAAAGCAGCAGAAATTGTGGAATCGGCACATCCACAGCTCAACAGGGTTGTCCTTAAGTTAGGACGGTTTCATTTACTCATGTCATACATGGGTTCAATTATATATGTGATGGGTGGAAGCGGCTTGGAAGATCTTTGGGCGACTGTTTATGCACCTAATTCTGTAATCCACATGCTGACAGGCCATGCTTTTGCCCATGCACTTTGAAGTCATCTGCTGTCATCTGCGGCTATCATGTCCATCCTACTGCAATCAACAGATGTTCTTGATTCTTTGAATGTGGAAAAGCTTCGTACCATACATGGCAGTTTGTTGGGTGGCGATTGCGATATTGGCTCCCTTGACTCTCAAAACCTGGACAATATCCTACGGCTAGCTGAAACTGTTGATGATTTGAAGACTGACATCAAAGTCTCATCAAAAAGCAGGACAGGTAGACTTTGGATAGACTATTAGGAATAAGTGTCATTGATTCAGCAGTTCATTCGCGCGGAGTGCACAGGAGACTGGAATCTACATCTGCTGTCTGTCAGCAAGATGATTCCCTTATTCCATGTTGCTGGTCATCTTGCCAAATCTGCACGTCTGTATCTGGAAGAAATGAAAACCCCGAAGGACATAATGTCACCAGATCAGTTCAAGGCCTACACAGAACACGGGCACTTCACCATCCGTAGAACTAACAAATTTTGGAGTGGCAACTTCACTGACTAAGTGATCGAGCAAGTTCGTATGCGACTGCTGAAGATCTGTGGTGGCATGGCTCGTGGTCATGGTATTACTGACAGCACTTTCGCCAAATGGGTCCATGCAATGCCTCAGTGCATACCAATATGTGATGCTCTAGAGAGGTTCACAGGAGTGCATGGCCAAATATCTGAGCAACATGTTGACCTTCATTTATGTAACATCATGAGAGACAACAAGGACTATGGAACATTATTCCATTGGCTGAAAGATCATTCTCCTTTCTCCATTGAAGAGCATGGGTCGCTCATCTGCATAGGAAAGCAGTTTCTATAGGAATGAAGGCAGCTTCAGCTGTGACAGGTCAGATGTTTGCTGACATAAAGTTGAAGTGAAAAGATAAGGTGATAAGCATCAGTGAGGAAAAGAATCAAATCAAAATCAGAGGAGAGCCAGTCCAAGTAAACTCTGAGCTGCTATTCATGCGAGTCACCTGTGTGATAGAGGATAAGTCAGAGATGAAGTTGTACCTACTTCATGAATTTGCCAAGCAACCACCTGCCTTGTTTGACAAAGGCATGATGCGAAAGAATATGAAGTGTATTCTGGCTAATCAACTGAAATCACAAGTCCAAGTCCACAATGACCAGACCATCCAAAAGGAGTGCATTATGTCATTGACGGTGGCCACCTGCTACAACGTTTGCCTTGGCCCACGGATGCTACATACAACCAGATATGTGACAGCTATGTGTCCTTTGTGCTTCAACATTACGGTTCAGCATCTTCGGTGGTGTGTGAGGGATATGGCAGTGCGTGTTCCACAAAATCTGCTCAGCCGAACATATCATCTCAAATCATTTTTGAGCCAGACCTGAAAGTAACAACTTCATCTAAACCTTTTCTGAGCAACAAGAAGAACAAAGGTCGATTCACAACATTATTGAAGGGAAGACTTGCCAGGGACGGTTTAGCTGTGCAACAGAGCCCTGCTGATGCTGACTGCTTGATTGCTTCAACTGCAATTAACAAGGCCAGAGATAACCAATCACCTGTTGTTGTCGTGGGGAACGACACGGACCTGTTGGTAATGTTGATTGCACAAGCCGCAAATGACATGGATCATTACAGTAAACCATGCCCAATATATGACAGCATCTGATGTTTGTTCATGCAATAACAGGCTGTGATACAGCATCAGCCATCTACAATCAGGGTAAAAAGAAAGCTCTTGCTCTATTCCAGGAGAGGTCCAATTGGGATTGCTTGGATGTTTTCCTTCAATTTGGCAGTTCAAATGATGGCATTGCACACATTGCACAAGTTGGAGAGATGTTCATGCTTAAACTCTATGGAGCTGTAGACTCAACATCACTGGACGAACACCGCTACAACATGTACACTAGTCCATTCATCGAGCCTCTGTGTCCTCTTCAGGTTTCAAACTGGAATCACTTCCCCCAACTTCATCAGCCACTAAATTCCACGGCTACCGTGTGTACCATACGGTTCAGCAATGGCAAGGGAATGAGCTTTCACCAACAGAGTGGGGATGGCAAATCAAGGATGGGGTCCTTGTTCATATTGAGACAGATAGAGCAATTGCTCCAGAGAAAGTCTTGAAGATGATAGTGAGTGGATGCAAGTTTGAGTGCAGGAGACGGTGCAGTTGTCAAAGAGCAGGAATTGAGTGCAAATTGCTTTGCACTGGATGTCGAGGATTGCCAACCTGCCAAAATGTACTCAGTATTGAAGAATGAGATGTTGTGATTGACAAAAAGACCTTATGATACATCAGTCAAAGATTACAGTGAGATTCAAAGTTTACTAACTAAAAATGATGATATTGATAATTGTACAAGTGAATTACCATCAATTTGGTGACCACAGCTGTCTCGATTAACCAACCATGAGTAGCCATTTTGACGTCTGGTACCAAAAGCACAAGCACTAAATGTGTGGTTATCATGCCAAATTTAATTGTCTTATGTATGTGAGGTGTTAAAAGTAATATATTGAGATTCCTTGTGAGAAGGGCTTTCTTTTAATATATCACAAGGTATGGTTAATTAAAAAGAAATATTTTCGTGAGATTATTTTGATTATTTTAAGGACAATGGTGGCCATTTTGAAATTGGCGGCCATTTTGAAAATGCAACAAGGCATGATATCAATATATGTGGAATCCCTGTAAGATGAGCTTTCATTTGATATATCACATGGCATAATTATTTACAAAATATCTGTTTGCATAATCAATTGAATGATTTTGGCGGCCATCTTGAAATTGGCGGCCATTTTGAAAATGTCACAAGGTAGAATTTGCAGAACTTTGTATCTTGTACATGGCAATGATGTTCTGAAGCTTTCCTGAAAAAATCAGCTTTCTACTATTTTTTTTCCAATGTCATGTCTAATGCTCCTGGCCTATAAAGTAACTTTGTCTCAAACACGTTCAGTCTAGATGTTTCTTGATGACAATTATCTTTTTAACATGGTGTTATCACTGAACTCGAAGAGAAAAAAGTCTAAGGTTTGTGTTTAGTGGTAAACAAAGTATCATGAGCAGGGCAGGTTTGAGTTTGAGGTATCTGGATCCTGGCACGCCTAACTCTGCACAGTGATCCGCATTCGGTAAACCACAGTAGAGATTAGTATTTACAATCAGTATGCAGTGACTAAGGGGTTTCACTATATTTGCTACCATTGCAATACTGGATTTAATTCATGATATTTTGACATCAGAACAACTGGTATGATGATCCTGTAACATCATGTACTTTGTAATTAACAGGTGCGGACTGTAAGGAGCGTCAGCATTGTTCTCAGTGCAACATGGAGGGCAATTGCTTAAATGGTTGTAACAAGGGCTATTTTGGAATGAAATGCAAGTCGCAATGTAACAGCAAATGCAGATACAATACATGTAAACTAGACCCGGGAACAGGTGCAGGCAAGTGTACTGCAGGATGTGTAGCAGGATACCAAGGCACAAGTTGTAACAGACCATGTGACAGTCACGTGGTCAACTGTCGACTGTGTCCAGATGGATGTGACGGGGAGTACTGTCAGCTGGGTGATGCTTGTTTTGCCGGATGTCGAGATTCCAGGTACGGATCAGGATGCAAGACGTGCCCCAGTAACTGCAGAACCTGCAACAGGATGACAGGAGTATGTGACGAGTGTGACCCGACACATTATGGAGTCAACTGTGAGAAGACGTGTGAGAACTGTGCAGGATCCTGTGAGTCTGACTGTGAATGTGTTCCTGGCTTCTACGGGGACTTCTGTGCCGAGACTTGCAGTAAAACATGCCGCCCAAAGTCAGCCCACAAGTGTCTTCCTGCTGTGACGTCAGACAGCTGTACAGGTGAATGTCACAAACACAGCGCCACGTGTCTCCATGGCTGTGTGGATGGCTGGTTCGGCCCGAGGTGTTCTTCTCCGTGTAATCCTGGATGTCGTCATCAAAGATGTAATGCAGCAGGTTCTTGTGCTGAAGGCTGTGAACTTCATCATTTCGGGTCAGCCTGTGAACCTTGTCCTGAGAACTGCGCCAACCGAACATGTGACTCCAAAAGCGGTTCATGTGTGGATGGGTGTAGAAATGGGTTCTATGGGGAATACTGTAATGAAACATGTACTTTGTGTCCTCGTGGTGTTTGTGATCAGAACACCGGTGCTTGTGTTGAGGATTGCAGTGTCAGCGAAGGCGGAAATGAGCTTAACTGTACACGGACCTGCTCTCGGCCAGGATGCTCTACAGGCTATCGCAACAGCAGTGAGTATTTTAGTAGATGTGTAATAGTTATAATGCTTCAGGTCTCACCAGATTATCCTTCATGTGGGAGTTTTTCCGGCCAATGCTGCCCTGTCCTTAGGCTAATTGCCACTTATACGAATAATATGCTTTTGTATCACTTGTCCAAAACCTTTTGTTCTCAGTTATCACCGCGGTAATGGTTATATGGCAGTTGCAGTAAGACTATTGTCCATGTGGCAGTTACCCCAAAGACAATTGCCCTGTGGCACATATCACAACACGATTGTCCATGTGGCAGTTATCCCAATACTACTGTCCATGTTGCAATTATCCCATAACTATTGTCCATGTCGCAGTTATCCCACGACAATTGTCCATGTGGCAGTTATCCGTACACTGCTGTCCATGTGGCAGTTATCCTATCACTACTGTCCATGTGGCAGTTATCCCAACACTATTGTCCATGAAGCAGTTATCCCGAGACTACTGTCCGTGTAGCAGTTATCCCAACACTACTGTCCACGTGGCACTTATCCGAACGCTATTGTCAATGTGGCAGTTATCCCAACACTATTGTCCATGTGACAGCTACCCAAAGACTATTGCCCATGTGACAGCCACCCCAAGACTCTCCATGTAACAGTTGTCTCAAGACCATTGCTAATGCGGCAGTTACCCTATTACAATTGTTTCGTGACAATTTGCCAAATATTATGCCCCAAGACTAGTGTTCGTATGGTCGTTGGCTCACGACAGTGCTCCTGTACCACTTCGCGAAAGATTCATGTCCATTGTATGTTTGTTTACCAGCTCTTCCGATGTGGCCTCATATCAGCATAACTACTCTGACGGTCGTTCTGGGTGCAGTAGGCTTTTTCCTTCTGGTTGCAAGTACTGTTTGCTGTTTCTGTTTCCGCAAAAACACGTGTGCACAAAGGTCAGTACAGTCGCATTCCCTGTGATTCAAGGGCGATAAATCTAAAGAACGTTTGACTCATAACTTGTACATCGGTCATCATTAGCACAGAAAGAGAATGTTATGCTAATGCTTTACACGTTAATTACATACAATGTTAACGAAAGAAAGAGACGAAATGAAACATTGGAGTCGGAACTGAAAGGTTTAAATATATCACCACTCGTTGATAAAAGTGAGACATGTTTACTCACTTTTATCATCTTGTAGTGATATATATGATATCAAAAAGACACGAGGGTGTGATTATATTTATTATCCAGTGTCATACTTAATTTATCTTTCAAGTGATAGTAACAACGAAACTTCACCTGTAACATTTGAAGACTTGCATATGAATACTAGTAGTGCTGACGTTTATTGCTTTAAAATCTGCAATGCATAAGATTCACCATTTCATAGTGGCATATTTAGTAACTTTTATGTTTAGAACAACTTAAACAGGGGTATTTCATTAAAGTGTTAATATACATTTATGTTAAGTCAATAAAAAAAAGATGATATCAGGTAAATATGGATACATTATAAATTCATCGCCGTACTGGGAAGAGAAGGCCCCATTTTTGATTGAAATGTCATATTTTATTTTTTAAAAATGTCATATATATGGTATTTCATAGACTATTTCTTTCAAGAATATTTCTTTCAGAGTTTTTTAAAATAAAGTTATGTTTAGATACGTATTCTTAATACTGCATGAGTAAGTGTGTCTGTTTACTGCAATGATGATGTGATTTATACTTTGATGTAGAGTACCAAACCAAACCGTATGTTTTGATCATTTACATCATTGCAGAAACAACATAAACTGCTATCAACTTTATTTCATTTTAAGCAATTCGCTTTTTGTATAAATAACACCTTGTAGTAATCTGTATTGAAAAGTTTTATGTCTTGCAATTATTTTCTGTATGCTGGAAATATATATATTTTCCAATCAAAGTCTGTTTCGGGAAATAACAGCTGCCATTTATTACATTGGAAATATGATTATCATAAAAAATCCTGCAGCCTTTAGTTGTTTTTAGTAAATAGATCTGGCATTGGTTAACATTCAAATGATACTGGTACTAAATGACAGTAGTTATAACAGCAATCTTTTAAGAGTGGGGTAATACATGCAGTAAACATCTATGATCTAAAAAAGTACCTTTGATACCAAATATTTCTTTAAAAGATTATATTGATAATATTCCAGTTTCATCACAAATATCCCTAATATATTATAGTCCCTTTATCTGCCCCATTTTTATGTAGTTTAATGAACTGTTGAAATTGTGATTAAACCAAATGGTTGGGATAGAATTTCATTGATGTATTTGGGTGAATATAATGGGTATATAAAATAATAGTTGCCATGCTTTTAGCACATCATGGCAAAAAGGATTTTCAATCTTAACGTAAGTTTCAGAATTTTCTCTAAAATTAAATATGTCTTTGAAAAGTATATTCCATTGATTATTCTTATCACATCTTTGAAATACCGTCTTAAAGTCTATAAATGTTTTATATCAATCATTCACAAACCTCCTTCTTCATAGTTGTTTTTTTTAAATTACATTTCTCTTTATTATATCGTTCTTGTCATTCCAAAAGGTTTTCTCAAGAAAATTGATACATTCTGCTGGTAGGTTGGGCAAGGAATTGAAAATATGAACCAATTTGGAGATTGCTAGAATTTTTGTTGCTGTTATTTTACCATAAATGTCTTTTTCTCCAAGTTGCAAGAGTATAATTTCCTCCCATCCCTTTCTGGTGTAGATTACCCATAAGTCTTCAAGATCTGTTGTAAATTTAATTCCTATTAAATTCACCAATTACCCATTCAATTTTCAGACCATTGCGCATTTTTTCAATAGATTTAGTTCTTTATACATTCCAGGTTGCTTTTGATTAATCGAAACCTGACATTTTGTGGAATATATTAATTGTCAATAGCAAAATACAAACTCTCTTCAGTTCTATCAAGAAAAAAATCAGTATCATCAGCATAATGATCCAGTTTATATTCATTATCATTGATGACCATATCTTTAATGTTTTCATTATGTCTTATCATGCAGCCAAGAATCTGAGCAACAAAAGGGAAAAGATAAGGGGATAGAGGGTCTGCCTGTCTACATCCCCTTTCAGTTGCAAAAAAAGTCAGATAGATTACCATTTTGGATAACACAAGACATTGTTTCATAAGTTCATATATTTATCCACCTTATCATTTCAGGGCTAAATTTATGTAAAACTATGTTGATAAACTCATTTGAAACAGTGTCAGACGCTTTTTCAAACCAGGAATGTTTTGTTTCTTTGTTTCAAACATTATATCATATAACAGTCTTGTATTTTCACTGATAGCCCTACCCGGTATAAAACCAGTTTGGTTATAGTGAATAAGTTCACCTAAAGTAATTTTTAATCTATGTGCAATGCAGGAGCTGATAAATAGCATTATGTAAAGAGATTGGCCTCCAGTTTTTAAGTAATGTTCTATCTTTTGTTGCATTTTGGAATACAGGTGAGAACACCCCTTTTCATTTTCAAAGACATTTAATTTTTTGTTGATATATCTTTAATAAATCGATAGGTACACATATTTATTCCTTCCCCAAAAACAAATCAATAGAAAATCGATCAATCAGTTGGCTTTTATTATTCTTCATACTGCAAAAAGCTTTGCTAATTTCTTCCAAACTGATTTCACTTTCAAGATAGTCTCTCAGTGTTTTATTTAAAGTGGGAGCGTTAATATCTTTCAAAAAGTCCCATTTCTTATACTTTTCATGAGAAGCATAGACATTTTTCATAAACTAGTTTCACTTCATTCAGTATTGATTTGCTGTCAATAATTTCATACTTACCATAAGTTATTTACTTATTGACTGATTTCTTTGTGAAATTTCGATTTTCCAGATGGCAGAAATATTTTGAAGGTTTTTCTCCTTCTTCATACCCAAGAATTCGGTTTCGGATTTGCATTCCTTTCATTTCCTCATTTTAACTTCTTCCATTTTTTTGTTATAGGGGCGGTGGGGTAGCCTAGTGGTTAAAGCGTGCCTCGTCACGCCGAAGACCAAGGTTCGAATCCCCACATGGGTACAATATGTGAAGCCCATTTGTGGTGTCCCCCGCTGTGATGTTGCTGGAATATTGCTAAAAGCGGCGTAAAACCAAACTCACTCAGTCAGTCAGTTTTTTCTTATATTTTGATAGTTTACTCAAAAGTTCATCAACGATTTGAAGTTTTTTTCTATTAGTATATTCGACCATGTTTTATTTTTAATTCCAGTTCTTCTGTCTTTTTTGCTTTTGTTTTCTTTGTGTAGGATGAAAAAGATATCGTTAGAAATTGTAATTGAAATTTAAAGCATTTATGTAAAAACTGCCATCCACTCAAAACTAGCTTATGAGACTCATACATTTAAAACTTATGAAATATAAAAAGCGTATTACAAAATGAAATATTTAATAAACAATATAAATAATAATAGATTAGTGAAAATATGCAACCACAGTGTATAAAAAGTGAAGCATATATATTATCTAAGAGTATGACATTATATAATACGGTAAATTTTGCTTAAAGGTCACATGCAACCAAAAAATCAAAAATAATTAAAACACAATTATCACTTCTTCATGACATATAATATACATTGCTGATTATGTAAAAACACATAAACAAAATTATAAGCGTACAATTGCAAACGAAAAGTGCAATATTTTGTACTTGGGTGTACTTCCCAAGAAACGAAGCAGCCGGGATACCGAACCCAGTCAGAGGAGATGAGTGAGCACTCAAATGTAACGGCTGGTTCATTTGCAGATTCCCTCACGGCTCATTGCGTGTGTATATATAGAGATGTTGGGTTTTGTAAATACATGCTCATTTTTTGTGTATAAGATTTTGCAATCAACAGACATCATAACATGTCATGTGTACAAGTATCACCCCTGCCACACTCGGGCCATAAATCAATGCGTTTTGTTTATGGAATATAGCCTGATAGGTCTTAAGTTCAAATTGCATGTGGTCAGTGATCAAAGTTGTGTACTGAATATGGTTATCTCCCAATTGACAGACACCCAGTTGACAGACACTGAACTAGAAGGTTAATTAGGGTACCACCTACAGGTATAATGGAACAGTCCACTGTCTAGTGAGTAGAGCAGGGTGAGCCTGAAACAGGTTCGCTACTGAGAAGTTTGATTGTGTGTAAATAGAACTTTGTTGTGTTTAAATGATAAATGATTTGTCTTCTCAAATTGATTTTACTATCAATTACTATCAAATATACAAACAGCTTTGTCATTGAGAGGTTTGGTTGTGTTTATTGATAGAAAAGACCCCTTCTAATAATAGCATGTACAACAGAAGTTAACTGAGAAAACGTTTTGTTGGAGAGATATAGATATGTACATATTTGAAAACATTCTGATTTGCAGTAAATGAAACACCTGCATTGCCATGTAAGATACGATTAATACCAATCAGTGTTCTAATTTTAACAATACTTTCTAAAGATTGTAACAGTTTATGTCTTTGAGTAGTATACAATTGACATTCAAAGAAGTAATGAAAAAACATTCTCACATCCATGGCCACATTGACATGATGTGTCATATTGTAAATATTTATTCTTAATAAATCGTAATAAAGTGCCACTTGTCATGTATCTCAATATTGTGTGCAAAACATTTAACTTCTTTATTCCATATGAATAATATTTAGGTTCACATTTGTCTATTTGATTTATATGATACAAGAGTGTCGCAATTTCTAATAGCAAAGCTAATGTTTTCAATATGATGATGCCGACTCCCGTTAGACTAGAAGGTTAAACCGAAATGTGTATGAAAATAAACTGTTTATATATTGCAGCAATAAAAATTCAAATTACTGTTTTTTCGTCCATCTCTCAAAATAAATAATATAGCTTCAATTTGTTCCTGTGTTTTTATTTGGACTATTCCATTATAATGTGTAGGTAACAGGTAGTAGACACTCTGTTCACTGAACCGTAAATGTTGTTGTTTTAAGGTGTCTGCGAACTGGCTGTCTGCGTAATGGGAGGACACCCTGAATATTGTCATTAGCAGACAGGTAGGCAGACACATAGGTGTCAATAAAACAGACATTGAGTTTTGTCTGTTGTCTGTGACAACAACATATCTATATCACAGTTAGAGATTCTGTCAACGCTAAATAATGACACTGCTTTTAAGTATCAGACTGAGAAAGTGACGCGGTAAGAAGAACGTGTGGTGAAAGAGACAAATGAAGTTATATAAACAGTTAAATCGTTAATATACTGTCATAATATTATAAAAAGCTGGCGCCTGTGAAATATCAACAAAACATTTGAAAAATAGCTCACACCAAAGACTCCACCGGCTTTTCACCGGACAACCCACTTCTAAGCTGCGCGAACCTACTTCACTGCGCATGTGCTATGAGCGCAGCCCAGCGCAGCTGTTGAAACCACATTTCCCCCTAGTGCTGGGGGGAAATTGGTGAATCTTTTGAACTCCGATTTCGCGCGGTTTTTTTTCATCGCGTTATTTTTCAACTTTATCAGTTGAATTTGCATTTTTGATGATTTGTTTCAGTAAGTCCATACCGAAAGGTATCAGAATCTGCAAAGTTGTGTTTTACGTTCCATGTGACCTTTAAACTACTTATAGAAAGTATATGTTGTTAGAGTAGGCGCGTGTAAATTGCGTCTTAGAAACATTTTTTGTTATATTATTGGCTAACATATGTACAAAATAGATGTTAGCAAAATTCAATAATTTATTAAACAAAGTATTTTTATCATTTATAAAAATATCATTAAAAGTATAATAGGAGACTTACAGATCATATGTAAGATAACATACAATTTGCATTCACACAAGAAATGAATTTCATTTTCAACATTCTAACAAAAGGGGCAAGTTCTCAAACTGAATTGATAAGTGTAAGGGGCTTACAGTGACCGGTTTCGATACCAGCGGGAGAAGCTACAACGGAGTCGCGTTAGAGTCTTTCGTTTCTGGTGAGATATGATTTACTTAACATAAAATTCCGTTTTGGGTCTTTTTCATGCAGCCTATATGTTCCTAATTTATTTATTTATTTATTTATTTGTTTATTTGTTTGTTTGTCTGTTTGATTCTCAACTTCACTGAAAATATCACACTTCTTATTGAGCGAGGACTAGATACAAATTTGATATGCCGAGTTCATTGCATAACGTCTCCACTGTACGGGCCAGTGATTTCTTTCTGTGTTTTTAACATTCAAGCAGTTGTTCAGGCACCGACGTGAATTGGCAGTTCTAGTTAATCTGATGTAAGCACGTACATCTATTCTCTGTTTGGTAAGACATGAAATCCATCCCAACTCCCCTTCCACAGCCATGTTAGATGTATTCCGTTGCACACCAAGAAAGGAACGGTCGGTTCTGTTCTATATTAAATTTATAAGACGGGATGAATAAAGTCCCTATAGTGGCGCACCATACATAAGAATAGGTTCAAATGTTGCATTTATAATTTAAATTTTTGTACTTCCTTAGCTCCTACTAAAAAGTAAATGACAGACAGAGAGACAAGTATTTTTTCAGTAAAAGGCCACAGGCCCATCATACATTCATTTGCATATGATGTAGATAGTTTAGTGCACATGCTGTGTAAGAGGAACCTATTTATTATGCGCTGAAGTACATGATCCAGAAAATACTGACATCTCTTATGATATAATCATTATGTGTTTTCATAATGTAAATAAAATTGGCCTTTCGGTCAAAATCACTCAAATATTTCTGAATATATCTTAACCTTAAATCAGAAAAACGTTCACACTTAAGGAGTACATGGAATTCATCTTCAATAACACTTTTGTCATCCAATTTACAAAATAAACATAATCTCTCATTGTAATTAACTTTATTGTATCTTCCAGTTTCAACAGCTAATTTAAAATTACGACATCTAAATTTAGAGAGTGCAGATCTGAGATGTAAAGGAATATCAGAATTTAAATGCCTTTCCACATTTACAAAAATGTCTTAATTTGGGAGTAATAAAAACATTTATTTGGATTTTAAATTGAAGTGGACCAACATTGTTTAAAATTATCTGAAAGTCTCTACTTATACAAGGGTATGAAATAATCAGCATTGCCAACATCCTCAGTGATCCATGCATCGCCAAAACCATACTTAAATATAATATTTTTGACACAAGTTGCTCAAGTAGTGCGGCCAACATCATCTAAGGACTTCAGCATAATAGAACAATGTTTTGGCAGTGTAATATAAGGCATATACAATAGGTGACACCAGTATTTTTTTATTACTTTAGTCATATAAGTAATTTGTAGGGGAAGTCTGCCACAATCAGCAAGAGCCATGTTATTACAGGTAGCTTTACCAACTTTCAAGAAAACATTTACAAAATTTTACCTGAACAGACTCAATGATGCTACAATTGTTAGTTACCACCTTCCTCTTCCATTACAGAAAACAACTTATTAATAAATATGATAAACAGCTGTGGGCTTAACACACAACCCTGACGGGTACCTATATTACATGTAAAACACTTAGGTAAACACTTTGAGGTTCTAACACAAGCAGATAAACTGCTGTACATTGATGATATTATATTATAAAATTTACCAGAAATACCAACTTCAGCTAAAGAGAACATCATGTCTTATTGTATCAAAAGCCCTTGGGAAATCAATAAAACCTACCTTTCTCTTTACCAGAATATTCCAAATATAGGAACATGTTTTACAAATTGAATCAATATGAGATATACCCCTATATAAAAAGTAAATGCGAAGTTTTAGATCCCAAAGGAGTGCATTGCCACCAGTTCAAGAAGGTCAGTACCTGTTTCAGGAGCGCATTTATAGAAGAGTGATTTTGTGTCGTTATAAATTGAAGCATACAAATGGAAGTAAGTGTCAATATAGTTTGTTGTTAGCAGGCAATGGGAGGTCCCCTCCTTGGATAGTATTGATGACCTTTGAGACGGGGAGTTGTTGGTTCATTCACCCAAAAATATGACTATTATAGAGTTTTTAGAATCCAGGGTACAAAGGAGGAATGTACATTTATGTCTTCTGGTTTCCATCTCAAGTCAAATCCTGAGAGTACTGATGTTTGGTTTGGACCAAAGTCTTCCTCAGTTAACGTAATGTGACATGTGTGTCATTTAGTGACAACTACTATAATCAGGCTCTGAAGTGAAATATACCACAGTGTTCCAAATAGCATTCATATTTCTGGGGCAGAGCATGTATTAAGAGAATGAGTCGTTGTCAAAAGCTAAAGAACCTCTTTGCGCTTTCTCCTTTTTATATGACGTAACTTGGCATGAAGTATGACGATAATATGATATTACATAGATATGCTATTGGGGGATAAATGTTTAGAAAAATAGAAATCAGAAATGATTTATTTGAAAAAGAGTCTGTTAAAACGATAAGTTGTCATTGACGCTATGACGCATTTTTAACAACGGGCATACAAGACACACGCTACATGTGTTTTAATTCTTCTATTCAAACAGGTCAACTCAAGGTGCAGAACCTGGTACCCAGAACAGTGTATTAGAGCAGGCAGACCCCAATTACATGGACTACCAAGAATATCAGAAGTACTGGGAAATCAGAGAAGATGAAGCAGAACTGGTCGACGGGATTCACAATCAGAACCAAGACGGCACAAGCGATATCAGTGATGACGCACTGCCTGTGTTAGCAGATTACTTTCCGGGAGATGTCAAAGTAGGGGCTGGAGATGTCAACGTAATGGCTGGAGATGTCAACGTAAAGGCTGTGGAAGGCGATGTTGACGCCAAAGGTACCAACAGTGGTCTGAGGGTCAGTTCAGTCTCTGACGACGACCGCTACACACACCTCACGCGGGACGTTCCTGTTGCTGATCCGAGGAAAGTCTCCTCGTATATATCTCCACTTGAGGACTAATGTTTTATGTGCATTTCGATCCATAAAATATCAAAGCTAGAAGTAAAGACTGGTCACTTTGAAGATGGTGACTTTGGTGACATTGTAACAGACTGTCAAAGACAACAACTCATACTCACACCTCATGAGGAAGGTGTTCATTGCTGTGACCAATCGTCACATGTGATGATACATTGTAAACTCACACGCAAAGGAAACGTCTAGCATAAAGTATATATGTACTAATTTTTTAACAGTATAGAATACAAACACCAACAGCGTCAGATATACAGAAATATGAGCAAGACCAGTTCATTGGCAACAAAAACAGATGACGTCATTACATTGTGTGACAGCAAAAGAGTTCCGCAGATTCTAGTCAACTGCCAATTCCGGCCCAAATCATGACACTAGGTCCACCCCATGCATCCCTTTCCAAAACATTTCTGTCAGCAAAACGATCTCCTTGACGTCGCCAAACTCTGACCCTTCCATCTGCATGTGACACACAAAACCGACTCTCATCACAGAATATGACCCTGTGCCCACTGAAGTCGTGCTTGTCGATGCCGTTGTTGGAGGACAGGACGACGGCGACATCGTAGGTTGTTGGAACGCACACGTCGGATGACAGTGTCACGGCTGATGCGTCGATTATGCGTTCCTTTGGTGTCTCGAGCAACCTGGATTGCTGTCAGGAAAGGATCTCGCTGGTGTTGACGTGTTGTGTCGATCTTGTCGAGGGTTGGTGACCCTAGGTTGGCCGCTTCGGGGAAGGTCATCTGTAGTCTGCGTTGTGTTGTATCGATGCTGGAGACGGTAGATCGTGGTTATGTTGACATTAAAGTGACGGGCAACGTCTTGGACAGACTCTCCAGTGCGATAGCCGGGTTCCTCTCAAGTTGATTTAAATATTGTTGAACAAACTTTGTAGCAAAGATTTTGGCTCAGTTTTATACCCACTGAAGAAAGAGATAACTCGTGCATGTTTGATTGCATGGGCAAAACGTGCATGATGCCCACATCGCCATTGAAACTGTGCGTTCTGGCGATTCGTTTTTTTTTCTTCTGTTCCCACACTAGCTTCATATTTACAAAAGCTGTGTTGCCACTCAGCCTGCAAAAAAAAAAAAAATTCAATGGGCGACATCTTCTCCGGAGCTGATCCTGCTAATGTCATAGGCGAGCAGCTAGCTCTCTGTGCATTCTTTTGCTGAGTGCTGCATGAGCTTCATGGTGCAGCTGGGCTCTCTGAACACCAGCCATTACATGTCTATGTCCATGAGTAGTCAAACTGGGAGTAGTCACATTGGGACTAGTCATAATAGGAAGATACCTAAAAATCAAGTCTGACCCTGACAAACCGGTGATTATTAATATGCCCACCATCCCTCGCAGACCGAATGTTTGTTGCTAACACACACACACACACACACGCGCGCACGCACGCACGCACGCACACGCGCGCACACACACACACACGCGCGCACGCACGCACGCACGCACACGCGCGCACACACACACACACACGGTTGAAAATATGTGTGTAACTTGGGTTGGTCTGTTCAGTTTCCTGCACTCGGAAAAATAGCTCGCTGAGGCGGTAATTTGTTTTATATATGTAAGGTCATATTATGCAAACATGCCTTTGTAATAGCTGTTGACGACTGTGTGTGCTAACTCTTCGCGTAAGTAACGTGTAGGAATATGTAAACTTGTGTGTTTTGTGGTTGACTCGCTTACTACCAGAATTCTGATCAAAGAAATAGTTTTCTGCCACTGATGACCTAACTCTATGACTGCCACTTGTGCTCACATATTTGCTGTTGAAGCCAAGCAGCAAAACATGAGTTGCTGCTTATAATTTCTAACATGAACCAATTGACAATGTTATTAACATTCTCCCACCCACACACCCCACCTTACCCCCACCCCTCCCTCCATTATCATTTTGTATGTATTTTTTCCTATTACACATACATCTAGGTAAAAGTAACAAGTGAATCATACCGTAAAGAGTCGAGTATAAAATTGTACCCCTCGGACATACATAATGTTGCAGAACACACTTACATGCAATCGGGGCTCACTCACGAAACATTTGAAGTACATTTTCGTTGTAAGGAACGGTTGCAATATTTTGTATGCTTCTTTCACTTTTGTCAACTATTGTACGATAAACAACACGCCAAAGAAATAGTGTGGAGGCACTAGTTTTACTGGTTTCTTTCGACTAGGAAGAAAACTGCAATGCGTGATCTACATTTCGTTTCATTGCTACTGTATATATTTTGCATCAACCAGTCTTATCAGTCTTATCTCGTCAACCTCAAGTTGTCTCCCCTGTTTCACAAAGTAGGATCAGTTGTTCACGACATGTCAGGACAAGGAGAGTAATTATATACACCAGGCTTCCTTTTGTGAGTTAGTTTTAGTTTTACCTTTCATTAAGTATACAGTATCTATATATCCCTGGTACCATTTAACATTGTAGACATTCCGTGGGCTTTCCAAGGATCAAATGATCAGTAAATTATATATAACCGTGCCCTTTACCCTAGAGGCGGACTCACACGAATCGAGTCATATCGTCCGAGTGATTACAAACAAACGGCACAAACCGGCAGCTCGGATACGCGTCGATTGTGTAGCGAGTGTGTTGAGCCTGTTTTAGTTAGCCGACAAGTTGGATATGGCGCTGCCAATCAGATTGCGTAACACGACTTCGACTTCGTCTGCTTCAAAGAAACCACGCCTCGATTTTTCTCACCTGTTTATCTTCAATTCGAAGTTCTTTAATGAGATGGCTGTATGCTCCGTGAATGACGCGACGGAGAATCCATTCTTTCGTCAAACAACTTCTCATTTTCTTCGCTTTGGCATGCTCAAAGGCATAGGTCTTGGTCAGTCCTAATAAGCTTAGAAATTACTCACAATTTGCTGCCTGATCGTGTAAAACAAAACAAGGACAGACTATTACCATTGTAATGAACACTTTGTCCGTGGTCAGAGTATTTGGCTGTTAGAAACACTATTGCGAAAAGGTGTGTGTGTGTGTGTGTGTGTGTGTGTTGTGCACTTGTGCGTGCGCGTGCGCTTCTCTGTGTGTGTGTGAGGGAGAGGGGGGAGAAAGAAAACTCTTTTTGTAATGATTCTGTTGAAACCTTATGGCATGTATATTGGGAATGTGATGAAACCAACACTTAATTTGACAAAATCTTTGGCTTTTTAGGTAAGAACCCATTATTGAACCACATAATCTTATCTTCTAAGAGATATATTTACACTTGCTCTTTGACATAAACAATTCCAAAAGTTGATAATTACTGAAGGATATTGAAAGACATATTTACCACGGAAGCATTCATCTCCAGAAGAAATGATATTGTTGAAAACTTTTTAGCCAAATGGTTTTCTCCTCCTATCCTTGAACTTAACCCTGAATGACTATTGTGCACATATTACTGTACTCATCATGGTACTCATCACAGAGGGGTGCACTAGTGCAGTAAAATCGGTCATGAGGCCAGACAGTGTTATGATACCCAACAAGAGTAGTTAAGACAAAACAAGATCAAAAGTGATACCCATGGCCACAAGCACTACTTGTCAGAGAGACAGGGGGTGGTGACGTTGCCTAGTGGTTAAAGCGTTCGTTCGTCCCCTCGGGTTCAATTCCCGACATGGGTACAATGTGTGAAGCCCATGTCGGGTGTCCCCTGCCGTTATATTGCTGGAATATTGTTAAATGTGGCATAAAAGTAAACTCACTCACTGACTCACTCACTGTCGGAGAGACAATCCCGTGGCATTTCGCTAATCATCCAAACTAGAACACACTACCTTGGACTGTGGTGCAGATTTCTGTGTGATAAAAGATGAGACATGTGCTCAATTAAGAGGTTCCTTAAATGAAAAGTTTGAAAAATTATTGTGATAGCTAACAATGAATAGGTTAGTGTTATCGGCACAAGTTATTTTCGTCTCACAATAGCCTGGTATTGAGACATACATTTTGTGGAAAGTTGTGGTTGGTCTTAAACCTGAGCCTTACCAGCCTGACTGTGCCAGTATCACCTGAACCCTCTTTGCTGCATTTTTCATCTTAATCTGTAAAACATAATAATAATGCACTTGAATAGCATCTAATTTCCAACCGGTGGCAGCTTAGTGCTGCTTCACAAAGTTTGAAATAAGATAAACAGAGTTATTGGTTGAAGAGATAAGTCTTTAAGTCGCGGTGGAATGACTCAACAGAGTCTGCAGATTTGAGAGATGTTGGGAGGCTGTTACACAGAGTTGGAGCAACAACTTAAAAGGCCAGGCTAGCTAGGTTTGTCCTCGTGAAGGGTACACAGAGCTGGAGTTGATCAGATGATCAGATGATGCGAGCAGGGAGATAGGGACTGAGGAGGGCCTTCAGATAGGCTGGAGCAGTGTCACACTGGAGAGCAGAAAAGCAGATAGTAAGGCTCTCGAAGGATATTCGCTGTTAGATGGGTAGCCAGTGCAGGTCTCTGGGAATTGGAGTGATGTGCTCATGTAGTAGAGTGCAGGTACTTTGTTTTGAACTCTCTGGACATGTGAGATAATGCCGGGTCCAGAGAGCAGAGAGTTGCAATTTTCCAAACGGACGAGACGTAAGAAAGAATCAACGTTTTGCAGGTATCATAATCCAAATATTTTCGGATTCTACCGATGGTGTGGAGGCTGCAATTGGCGGTTCTTACTGTTTTGAGTGCCTGTGCTTTTCCTGACATGCATCTGTCCATTTCAACTCTAAGATTCTTAACTGAGGATAAAGGAAGCACAGAAGATGTTCCCACCAGTAATCTGGTACTGTCAACTTTGTTCATCTGTTGAGGCGTTCATATCACTGCTTTAGAAAATTAGCGTTACTCCTGTATGCACTGTATCTGGATTTTTTTATGCTTTATGCCAATGTACAACTGCTGATCATCTGCATAGCTGTGGAAGTTGAGTGAATGCTGACGAATTATACTTCCTAGAGGCTGCATGTACATCGAAAAGAGGACAGGACCCAGCACAGATGCTTGTGGAACTCCACACTTCAGGTCCTTGTGATCAGAAAAGACTCAGTTAAATGTGTACGCTCATAAATCTCTTGTGCCTGCTACGAAAAGGGTGTGCTTGAGGAGGGATAACAAAACGCAATGTTCCACAGAGTCAAAACCGCAGACAGATCCAGCAGCACCAGCAAATCAACTTCCTGTTTGTCCAAAGATAGCAGGACGACAAGCAGTTTCTGTTGAATGGGATTTTCTGTAGGCAGACTGAAAAGGTTCCTTGATATCATTTGGGGAATTAGAGGCTTATGGAATGGGTGTAGTTTCATTGAATGGTTTCGCAGTTATCTTAGAAATAGGGGACAAAAAGGAGTTATATATACAGATGCTCAATCATCAGATTTAAAACATATCGGCAGGGGTGCCCCAGGGATCAGTCTTAGGGCCGCTAATGTTCTTAGTTTAGATCAATGATATTGTAGATGGCATCAACAGCAATATTAGACCACGTTCTGATGACACATCAGTGGATATACTTGTGGAAGATCCAGACAAAGCAGCAAGAATTTTTAATGAATTTATGATTGGTCCAATATGGGACAAGTTAAGTTTAATCCAACAAAAACTGAAACGATTATATTCTTCCCCAAAGTAAATCCCTCTGCATGTTCACTCATAGAACATTTAGGTGTTTATCTTCAAAAAGACTGTTATTGGATAAAACAAATTGAAGAAATGGTGGTAAAGGTTGTAAGTCCTGGTATGATAAACTGTTTAAGAAGCTTTAAATATAGATAAATTAGACAAACGTTGGAAAGAATGTACATTGTATACCTATTACGTACTTCCACACTTCGATTATTGTTGCAACATGTGGAACAACTGTACGAAAGAGAGGCCTATTTCTATAAAATTTACAATTAGAGCGGGGAGGAACTAGTGGGAGGAACTAGTCATAAAGAAACTACAATGGAGACCATTAGTTAAGCGTAGACAAACGAAGAAACTTGCTTTATTCTACAAATGAATAATAACCTTACTCCAAACCACTTTTCTAATTTAATTCCAAAACATATTTTAAGTTCTTACAATCTGAGAATACCGATAGTATTCACAGAAATCGTTGCCATACAGAGTCGTAAACACACCCCTTTTAGAAACAGAATACGTTTACGGAACAATTTACCAACCGACAAAACACGATTACAGACCAAACAAGGAAAACGTCTCTTTGATAAAAAAACTTTGGATCTAGATTTTGTCAAATAATCCATGCTCGCCTAAGGTGGGTTGTAGTGACTGGATCGCTCATTGTTTTGATAGACATATTCAAATAATCAGAATCGTGCATGCTGGTATCCATGGGAAGATTCTCTTCATTACTTTTTTTCTTGCCCTTGTTATGTTAGGATCAGATAAATATTTATACAATGATTTTGAATTAAATTCAATTTTTCAAGGTAATCAAACTTCAATCAACACAATTAATCAGCTTATTCTTGACTCCGTTCATAACTGACTGTCTTTCCTATTATAATCCATTTCATGCCTTTGTGGAAATAATTGCTTCTGTACATTGTTTGAAATTGATTGTTTATTGCAATGTGTTATTTTTGATGGAGTGGTACTTCCCTAAGCCGTTGGCTTGTTGTGCCAATCCATATTGATCTTGTGTGTTTAGTTCGTGAATAAAATATGTGTATATAAAAGAAAACCAAAAAAAACAACACTTGGGTGTTGTGATCTGTTACAACACCTTATCGAAATACCAGTTAAACAGCTTCCTAATAGGGTTCAATTCCCCACGTGGGCACAATGTGTGAATCCCATTTCTGGTATTCCCCACGGTGATGTTGCTGAAATATTGCTAAAAGCAGCGTAAAACCAAACTCACTCACTTAACCTCCTATTAGTTTGTAAACACTAGTCTTAACAGAAAGAAGCCATGGAACGTATGGTATAAGATATCCTTGACTAGGGCGCCATGTCTGCTTCCCCGGCTGAATGTTTGCACACTTTTGGATTCCCGCCCGTTACCTACCACACTTATTGGTACAGATAATCCCTGTTACTTCACCTCAGTGGACCTTAAAATGGCTTCTACCAAGTTGAGATTGATCATCCAGACTCTCAACCCTACACCACGTTTGGTTATATCAGTTTCGGTGCTTACCTGTGAGACTTAAGAATAGTCCGGAGACATTTCAGAGATTGATTGAGGCAGTTTTGACAGTTATCTTGGAAAAGTTGTCTCTTATTTTTGGATGTTAGTATATTTAGTCATACCTGTGACGACCATCCACAGCACATCAGAAAAAAAAGTGATCGCCTCCAAGCTGCTAACTGCCAAGAAAGTGTTCAGTCTCAGATTATGTACCTAGGACATATTGTAAGTTCAACAGGTAATTTGCCAGATCCACACGCAACTATAGCTGTTTCAAGATATCCCACACCAAAATGCTTGAAGAATTTTGTTACGGTTAACTAAATTGCCGTGACAAAAGGTTTAAGAATCCCCCTTGAACCAGCAAAATGTTACACAGACAAGTCTAAAGTATTTAATAACATGTTGAGCAAACAATGAGCAAGCTACAATGAATCACAATACAGATTTCTAGTACAATGCAAAATTTAGTCACAAATCTAAAGTATCGGGTCACATTTATAAGATATCAGTTCAACATGAGCCTTGATATTTAGGTAGAGCAGATATTCTGAATGAAGGTAGTTCATAATGATAGCAGTCAGGCACGCAGTTGACGAAGGCAGACAACAATGGTAGGCAACTCCAGTGATATGAAAAGTCCCGTGTAATTCCGTGTGTTAGTACGTGTGTCAGTCCCTGTGGCACAACACAACAACCAGCCTTTATATATACTGACACAAATTCTTGAACATTCGGGTAGACCGTGGCTGTATCATTATTCTCTCAGAATTAGCGATAAGCAGAAGTCAACAAGTTAATAAAAAACATTGTCAAAGGCAGGTAACTCTGTAGCACTATTTCAAAAGGCGTGCCGCTAAATTACTACGGCTATTGAACATACATGATGCAAAATGTGACCCACAACCCACACTCAAAACTTTAAACATTGTGACCCTTAATAACAATACCCTAATGAATGTGATTACAAATTACAAAGAACACACTCTCGTAACAATTTGAGAACCATTTTAGGTTTGTCTGGTTTATACCGCAAATTTATTCCTGGATATGCAGAGACTGTGGCGCCGTTATGTGAACTTACCAAGAAAGGTGTTGATTTCCACTGGACTTCAGATTGTCCAGCTGCTATGGACAAACATAAACGATCACTCATCATTCGCCGGTACGTGCTTACCCCATGCCATCAGTTCCAAATGCTGTGTATACAGACGCAGGTTCATTCTCTATAGGTGGTGTTCTCTGTCAGACACAAAATGGAGACGATCGTGCGATTTCATATATTTGTCATATCCTAAGAAAAATAAAGGAATCAGAGAGAAAGAATTCTTGACAATGGTGTATTCTGTGTAGTTATTTGAGATACTCTGAGTTGTAGGCAGTTTTGCCAGGTGGACTGCCATGTTGCAGTCATGCAGTTTTGGTATCAAATATGATAATGCTGATGGCGTATACTATAACCGGAAACTACTGACATACTTTAATGTGGAATGCATCGCACAGGGCAGCGTGTCTCATGAATATCCCAGTCCCCAGACAATTACTTCAGTTCTATCATAACGTGTCTGTCTAGTGGAATTTCACCGGAGGATAACAAGGTGCGCCAGAAGACATCCTTGGCCAGTTCCGAGTACTTCCTACAAGATGTGTTATATCACGTGTCAACACATAAGGACACAAGTCCTCGTCTCGAAGACCATCGGTGCAAATTACAGTTCCAGTGGCTCTTTTTGCGATGAACACCAGATAAAATCGTATCTACTTCAAGCAGATATGACCCATATATATATGGAAACTGTTCTGTTGTCTTTCGCCATTTTTGTCCTATAAGCAAACACCTTGTGTCAATACGTATTTGCAGTGATCCATCTATGTTTTTTACTTTCATTCCCCGTGGAATCTCTCAGTATGAAGTAAACTGTGTTACGTCTGCGGTGTTGCCATCAACATTTCATGGTCTATATTTTGTACCTGGATAATAGCAGTGTGGTACATAATTATTATTTTCATAATGCACACGCCGTGTTAGGTTTACCAGATTGATTCTCGTGGGTGCACCATTTCGACCGACATGTATGGCAGAACAATGTTACTAAGGATACGCCAGATGCCATGGAAGAAAATCTTAAGAGCGTCATGCGCAATAAAATGGATCTTGAGAAGCTTATTTTATTGCAAAATATAAACCAATCTTGCTGTGCTCTGATGTGCTGTGCTATTGCAGGGTAGTCACCATAGCAGTATACACAATAATACCTGTTCAACAAAATCACAATAGAAAACATAATGAAAACAGTAGTATGTATTTTAAATATCAAATTGAACATGCAGAGTTCTCATCTTTTTCAGACAGAGTCAGTGACGATGCTGAAGGATTTTCTGCTTGTTATAATAATTGGTGAGTTATGTGTTGTTCATAAATATATACAGGGGTTATCGTGTTGATTGATTGGTTGGTCGGTTGGTCGTTTGGTTGATATGCCGGTTAAATGCTAAGATCGCGCCAACAGTTTGAACACCGTGAATATTTCTCTGTTTCAGCAATCGAAGTAAAGGGTGAGGCGTGTCCCTTGGGTACATATGGTGAAACCTGTAACAAAAACTGCAGTACTAACTGTGCCCCTTCTGCTTCTGACAAGGCCGTCTACTGTCACAAACTGACTGGAAAATGTTCGGAAGGATGCAATAGAGGCTGGCATGGGGACCAGTGTAATCTGGGGTGTAGCAAGAACTGCCTCAACGATGTCTGTGAAGTACAAGCTGGAACTTGCATAAAATGTAAAACGAACTATTCAGGGGATTATTGTGAGACATACAAAGGTATGTAGACTGAAGTATATGTATTTTGTGTGTGGCTTTATTGATAACATGTGCATTATTATTTGATCACCAAATGGTGTCTGGCATATGAAGCCACTCTACAGTGATAACTGTACGTCACATGTTTCTAGTCATATGAACGAGGTATATTCACTTCTATGCAGTGCTACTTTGTAACCTCGAGACAATCGAGTTAGTAAACAGCCTATTTAACAATGGGGTTATTGTTACGTCACGACCCCAAAGTTGAATCTAATGCAGTAGGCTCAAAACCGGCAACAACCAACAAAGCGATGTGATATAATTAACAACTTTATTCTAAAATTAACAACGTTTACAAGTTATTTCAAAGGTATTAACACGGCAGGACAAAGGCCAACTTCAGAGGCAGTCTAGTACAAACAACTATATTCATGGCAATAAGGATAGTAATAATCCCCTCACTGCAGGAACAGTCCAAGATAGGATGTCTATCCAAGGTAATAAGGCAATAAGGACAGAGATAGTAATATTCACTTTTTTGTATTAATTTATAGAAAGCTGCCGAAACGAAAGTTCACAGCAGACAGCACATGGGATTGCCTCAACAACACTGCCTGCGATATTTGTTCCGGTGTTCATCATCCTGATCGGCATCATTATTGCTCTAATTGTGTACATACTTAGAACAAGGTATGAACATATTACTTAGCAGCCAAAGAAACGTCAGTTTGGAATTTTCATTCGTAGAAACGGATAACTGTAAACTCATTTAATGTTTTGACTATATATTTTTGACAACATCTCCAACTTTACCTTAGCAAAGACATTCCTTCCCAAACTCAGAATTGAACCCAGGAAATGGTCTCAAAAATGCAACCTGATCTCGGAGATGGTACGTTGTTCTCCATGTTTTTCATGCAACTCATGCTGCACGTGCTGTTCACAAGGACCAGGGACCGGAAACATTCCATTACAACGTCAACAGGATGCGCGCCCCAAACCCTGAGTTTAGTTTTAAGCAATATTCACATATCACGGCGGGGAACACCAGAAATGGATGCCGCGACTCATGTGGGGAATCGACGGGTCTTCGGCGTGAGAGCCAACGCTTTAACACTACGGCGCTTAGAGGAACCAGGCGCTTGAAGATGGCCACACTGCACAAGCCGTTGCCAATCACTTCCAGGTCACCGTCGGACCATCTACAGGCTGCAGCAACCTTTCCGGGCCACCAACACCACAACAGATCGCCCCCGTACTGGCAGACCAAGGATGACCACAAGACGACAAGACCGCCATGTTGTACGACAGCATGTACAGAATCCCTTCATGCAGGCATCCGAAACACACGAAAGACCGATCAGTACTGATAAAGTACGCTGACGTCTTAACAGCGGGAACCTCCATTGCCGTAGACCTTACCGTGGACCTATTCTCACCCCTCGTCATCGGCGTGAACGTCTACAGTTTGCCCTGCAACACCAAAACTGGCGATACAGGCAATGGAGAACTGTTCTGTTCACAGATGAGAGTCGGTACTGCGTATCAACTGCAGATGGCAGAACAAGAATATGGCGACGACATGGCCAGCGTTACTCAGACCAATGTGTTATGGGAAGAGACTCATGGGGAGGTGCAAGCATCACCAGAGAGTGGGTCCTGTGGTGTTCCAGAACCTTGGTCCAGGGAGAGGAGGCGGCATCACAGCGGTGCGCTACATCGACCAAGCTCTCAGACCCCACGCCATACCACATTTCGCACGTCACTGGAACAACATTTTCCAGCATGATAACGCCCGGGCCCATACTGCCAGAGCTACGCGGGACTTCCTGCAGCAAAACGGTGTCAACATTATGCAGTAGCCAGCCCTTAGTCCTGATTTAAACCCAACTGAACATCTTTGGGATGATAGCAATTCAGAGGAGACTGAATAATGTCATACTAGGCCGAACACAGCCGATTTATTGCGCCAGGCCTTTCTCAGAGTGTGGTTCCAGGTGCCAATGGCCTTCATCAATCGATTGGTGCACTCCATGCATAAAAGCTGTGCTGCAGTTATTGCCGCTCGTGGTGGTCGCGCTAGATACTGAAGTCAAGGGTCTGAATGGACTGCAAACGTTCACGTAATTCATTGATGTGTCAAGATAGTGTACTGCATTTGATCCGCTTATTATGTCCATTTCTGTAATGATTTGATTACAGTGCCAATCTAATTTTGAATTCGTACTGACGGTTCTTTTTGCTGCTGAGTGTATTTCACATGTTCATCTAAAAAGTCGTCATCATCATCATCATCAGCAGCAGCAGCACTATATTATCACTTCACCGTGTTCATCAAAGAAGTTGTTTTCGAATGAAGAGATGATTAATTCTCCTGCTTAAACCTAGCGTAACAGTAACCACACTGTGTGTGTTATATCCCCAGATTGATACCATACACCATGGTTTTAAGTGGGTGCATACTGTGTGTGTTGTATCTCCACCTTGATACCATACACCCTGGCTTTAAGTGGGTCCACTCTCCGCGTGTGATATATCAAGCTTGATACCATACACCTTGGCTTTTAGTTGGTCCACTCTCCGCGGGTTATATCTTCAGCTTGATACCATACACCTTGGCTTTAAGTGGATCCACTCTTCGCGTGTTATATATCAAGCTTGATACCATACACCAAGGCTATAAGTGGATCCACTCTCCGCGAGTTATATATCAAGCTTGATACCATGAACACTGTGGCTATCTGCACCTTGATACCATACACCTTGGCTTAAGTGGGTCCACTCTCCGCGTGTTATATATCAAGCTTGATACCATACACACTGCCTTTAGGTGTGTGAACACTGTGTGTGTTATATCTGCACCTTGATACCATACACCTTGGCTTTAAGTGGGTCCGCTGTCTGCGTGTTATATCTGCACCTTGATACCATACACCATGGCTTTAAGTGGGTCCACTCTCCGCGTGTTATATATCCAGTTTGATACCATACACCCTGTCTTTAAGTCGGTCCACTCTTCGTGTGTTATATATCCAGCTTGATACCATACACCCTGGTTTTATGTGGGTCCACTCTCCGTGTGTTATATATCCAGCTTGATATCATACACCCTGTCTTTAGGTGTGTGAACACTGTCTGTGTTATATCTGCACCTTGATACCATACACCATGGCTTTAAGTGGGTCCACTCTCCGCGTGTTATATATCCAGCTTGATACCAAACACACTGGCTATAAGTGTGTCCTCTCTCCGTGTGTTATATATCCAGCTTGATACCAAACCATACTATAACCCTGTGTCTATTAAGATACCATGTGTCCTCTCTCCGTGTGTTATATATCAAGCTTGATACCATACACCATGGCTTTAAGGGGGTCCACTCTCCGCGTGTTTTATATCAAGCTTGATACCATACACCCTGGCTATAAGTGGGTCCACTCTCCGCGTGTTATATATCAAGCTTGATACCATACACCCTGGCTTTAAGTGGGTCCACTCTCCGCGTGTTATATATCAAGCTTGATACCATACACCCTGGCTTTAAGTGGGTCCACTCTCCGCGTGTTATATATCAAGCTTGATACCATACACCCTGGCTTTAAGTGGGTCCACTCTCCGCGTGTTATATATCAAGCTTGATACCATACACCCATGGCTTTAAGTGGGTCCAGTCTCCGCGTGTTATATATCAAGCTTGATACCATACACCCTGGCTTTAAGTGGGTCCACTCTCCGTGTGTTATATATCAAGCTTGATACCATACACCATGGCTTTAAGTGCGTCCAGTCTATGCGTGTTATATATCAAGCTTGATACCATACACCCTGGCTTTAAGTGGGTCCACTCTCCGTGTGTTATATATCAAGCTTGATACCATACACCATACACCCTGGCTTTAGCATACACCCTGGCTTAAGTGGGTCCACACTGTGTGTGTTATATCTCAAACCTTGATACCATACACCCCTGTTTTTAAGTGGGTCCACTCTCCGCGTTATATATATATACCATCAAGCTTGATACCATACACCCTGGCTTGATACCATAAGTGTGTGTCCCAGTCTGCGTGTTATATATCAAGCTTGATACCATACACCCTGGCTTTAAGTGGGTCCACTCTCCGCGTGTTATATATCAAGCTTGATACCATACACCATGGCTTTAAGTGGGTCCACTCTCCGCGTGTTATATATCAAGCTTGATACCATACACCCTGGCTTTAAGTGTGTGCACACTGTGTGTGTTATATCTCCACACTGTAATGTCCGCGTGTTATATCTCCACCTTGATACAATACACCTTGGCTTTAAGTGGGTCCACTCTCCGCGTGTTAGATATCAACCTTGATACAATACACCATGGCTTTAAGTGTGTCCAAACTGTGTGTTTTGTATCTCCAGCTTGATACCATACACCCTGGCTTAAAGTGTGTGTACTCTGTGTGTTTTTCTCAAGCTTGATACCATACACCCTGTCTTTAAGTGTGTGCACACACTGTGTGTGTGTTATATATCAAGCTTGATACCATACACCCTTGCTTTAAGTGGGTGAACACTGTGTGAGAGGTTAGAACCCATGCGTGAATTATAGTTGTGTGGTAAGTGTCAGTGACTTAGTTGATGCCTGTCATCGTTTCCCAATTGTGTAAATCCATGCTCATGTTGTGTTCCACATGCGATCATTAAGAAACTGCTTATAAACCTAGAACATTGGTGAATGTGAACTTACAAATGAACAAACAAACCTGACATTTGGCTTCTCGGTTAGTACTGATTGTTGTTCTGTTGCAGATCTAAGGGTCGTAAAGGAGCAATGAAACAGGGTAAGGTATTAGCAACAGATTAATTTTATGGCTTTTGACCATTTTACTTATAAGTAAAGTTTAAGTTGTTCGGCGTTCAAACTTAAAAACAAGACAGTTATGTACATGTGTGATGTTCCTGAGTAGTAACTGACTATCTCCTTACTGCTTTGTGATTTAACCCCCTGGCTGCCGAGGGTTTTTTTCAGGCGCACATTTTCATAAGCTTTGTAAAGTGAACGTTGTGCGAGAATTGCGCTCGCGTGGTCCTAGATCTACGTACGGCTATAAAATTACACAGAAATGTAGAATATTAAATTTCCAATCCGTTTGTGTAATATAAGTGCAACTACCTCGGCGGTTTGAGAAATAGACCTTGCTAAATGTTGTCAAATTTTTTGCTATGCGTTAAAAATAGTAAATTTCTCCGCTTTTTATCGCGCACCGATAAAAGCACTGTGCTACGAATTTTTTTTATTTTGGCATCTTTACGGAAAGTGTGAGCAAAGAAAATACAGCCTGATATCTGAACGACAAAAGTGTATATGAGTTGGCTTTATGTGCTTATGCATAACGTTATACGCTCAACATTACTCGCAATAAATGTCAAAAATGGATTTTCTTCTACGACGTCAAACGACGACAGAGAGGTCATACGAGTATAATAATAAGGGGTCATAACTCCGTTATGCTTAACACTAGGTCAATGTAACTCAGATCAAATGGAGAGTATTTGTTGTGGATACGGACGCTATATTTTTGTTATCTTTTTTTACGGTGAACCAAACTATTCCAATTCAAAGTTCCCCAATAAGAGCGGATACGCTTTGGTAGTTTCACAATTTATAAGAAAAGATGACAACGTACTACATGTGAAAGCACGTAATAGCGATTTGGATGGCCCTATCCGATATATAAGTTAGTTCTTGGATTCCTATATTCTCCTGTTTGTGTAGATGTATTTTGACTAATTTTGCATCGTTATTACCACAATAGCCATATCTTCAAATGTAATGAAATTGCTGAAAATAATGCAACATTATGTATTTGGCGACGTCGGAAAAAGATGACATTGGTATGCTGATTAGTATATATCTCACCTAATTTCCATTAATTGTGTGAAAGGTCTCGGCTTCTTTGTGAGAATAAACACTCTTTAGACAAAACATAAAATGACTGTTTTTTCCATTTAAATAATGTCCTGAATATATCAACAATTAGACATTTTGACTGTGTATCTTATCATGAGCAACACGCGCACCTGTTTGGCATCAATTTAACGTAAATGAAAAATAATATTTCACAACACCCGAATATTTTGTTTAGGATAAGAAATGTTCTTTATTTATGATTCTGTAGCTATTTCTCTATATAAGTATGCAATGGAAGATGCAAAAAAATAGCTTTTTATATATGGATCTAGTTCATACTTTGTATTTTCGTATAAATATAGTTAGAGTTTGATATCCTGTCATCACAATATTTTTAAATCGAATATGAATTGATTATATTATCGAAAACAATGATAGTGAATCATAAACGTTTCCGACAAATGCGCACCTGGACAATCATTATATAAAATTATTTTCTCTATAAAACGACACAAAAATGTGCAAAGAACAAGACAATTCCTTTAAATGTGTGTGCATATACATTTCATAACATACATTAAGTCATTTTCATTATCAGTTTTACTCATAAGGTTTAACCAAATGGCCGTTCATTAACCTGTTCATGTGCAACTGCAAATGCATTGAATATTGTACATCACAGGAACTAAAGTAATTGCAGTTGTGGCTACGTTTAATCTTCTAACACTTGTGTAATGGTTTAGATTATGGTGTACTGCACTAAATGTGTCAATCTTATGTAAATATTATTCAAACAATCAATAACTTTGAAAGAATAAAACACCGTAAACCCTACATGCACGTAAGATATGATTTTGAACAAGGCTGAATTTAGATACTGAGGTCAGTTTCAGGAATAAGCATCTGAACTATCCGCAAAATATACACCATAATACTGACAGTGTAATCGGAAGGATTGGGGGATTGCGTTAACTCTTGTTCAACCGACCTTCACCTCAAAGAAATTGCCTAATATGTACAACAATGTTAACGTGTGACATCACTACCGATGACCTATTTCTTACAAAATGGCGGCTTTGTTGACAAGGATACACAGGATTTTGTGAGGACCCTTCCATTGATTCAGTGATCGTTTGTACATAAATATGACATGTAAGTAATCAGATGATTCTGACTATCTGTGTATTGTTATATGTTTCTATCGTTTTCACTGTAAGTAAGAGAACAAGCCAGAAATGCTGATAATTACACTTGTCGTTCTGCGTGATTTTGCGTCAGTCATGGCGTCACGCTGCACGGAAACTTTGACAATTTCTTATGAATTATCAAATCATTGCATTGTATCTATTCATAATTTCCTATTTCGTACTACGATACTCTTTCCATGCACATTCCAAAGGTATTGAGTCATTGAAAGCAATGAATAGACGGATGAATGTTGGAAAATTTCAGAAAATGCTACGCAGTGTAAAATCGGAATTTGTCTTTGTTTACTTTTCGAACCAGCGCAGTCTTTCGAGCACAGCGTTCGTTTTCACACCCAATATGTTTTGTCTCATTTTATCTGGACAGTTGGTATTGGTGACACAGATCAGTTGCAATTAGATTCTAAAATGTATGGGGAATTCAGTGATGCATTTTTGGAAGCTGAATATGAAATATACGTGATGTAATAGGCTTCTCAATACCGGCCTTCGCGAAACGTGATTTTGAAAACACTATCCAATATGGCGGAAAGCGCTCTAGGGCATTCGTGTAAGTGTATTTTCGACAACATCCTAACCGATTCTAGATTCATTGGCAACGTTTCAGAATTATCATTAGCGATTTCATGTAAAAGTGATATCAGTGTTCATTAATATGTTATTTTTAAATTCAATACTCCCAGTAATGATCCGATTTTCACATTTCAAAACATACAGCAAATAACGCTGTGAATCGCGATTTAGTACTGTGGCAAAAATGGCGACATTTTCGATGAAGCCTATTTTGAAAGGTCATTTTCAGCACTAGAGCTTTGTCTAAAATAATAGTGGATGGTATCAAGAAACAGGAAATTTCCCGCAGAATGCGAAACTGTGAAGTGTATTTGTGTGCGGGATATTTTGATTTTATTGGACTTGAAATTGAGGGTTGAAGGGGAAGGACATGACATCCAGGGGGTTAATAACAAATTTGTCCTGAAGCTCGTGTCATCACAGATAACCACAATGGACCTGGTCACATACGATCTAACAGAAGAATACTGAATTTTTGTTAATTAACATTAATCGAAGAAGAAAAACATGTATAGATTGCCTCTTCTTTATTGCAAGACATGCGCAATTCCGGTGGAGATGACACTACCGTTATCAAGCAGTGGTTCAGAACATTATGCACAAGGAAAATATATACAACAAGGATATTTGGGTTTATACAACTGAAGAGGTTGATGTTCGGTGTGATAAAATTACTGATTGTTGTTGTTACAGATAAGAGTTCTAAGCCTATGCTTGTCCTAAGAGGCGACTAACGGAATCGGTTGGTTGACATAGGTGATCGTTTCCCAACTGCGTAGATCGATGTTCATGCTGATCACTGGTTTGTCTGGTCCAGACTCGTTTTTTACAGACCGCCGCCATATAGCGTAATATTGCCTCGTAAAATCAAACTCACTCACCCACTCACTCAGTTATGGAGACAGGTGGACAAAGCGTAGAGAAGGGTTATTCTTGATTGGGCTTGATTAGATGATGGTTTGCTGTGGGGTTTTAATAACATTGACCTGTGTTGATTGTCGGGTTAGGACTTTCTCATTCTATTTTTTGTAGGGGGCATTTACCAGTCAATACCATATGTACCCTCAAAACTATCATTCATGGTTGTCATTAACAATGCCAACAGTACCATTTTCGAAGACTTCCCCCCATCTGCATCACGGACCTTGCTCCAATATGACGCTCCGTGGGTTAACCATGAATTGATTGATCTCAACTCGCCAACTGAAATCTGTAGAGATTTCAAAGTTGAGGTGACGGAGAGGTTAAATCGGTTTATAGGATTTAACGACTTTGAGACAGCTGAAACAGAGACATGATTCCATATCTAAACGTTGTTCTAAATATGGCCCTGAAGTTGTTAATTCACGTTTCCCCGACACACCTTCTCATTTTCAGTCTCGGGCCATGAGGGCGAAAATGAAAGGCTTACCTCTGTGGAAAGTAGCAGCACAGCTGAAAGTAAGCTTTCTAAGTTCTCTTGACTCTGAAATCACTATTTCTATCAGTATCTATTGTTTAGTTGGTAGTAAGGATATACGAAATAAGCAAGTTTTTTTATTCAATATCTCATAAAGTAGTATTCTGACCGTGTGGGTACTCCAGCTCTAAGCAACACCCCAGTTTTGATGTGTGTCATCACATCAGTGTAGAACATCTATGACTAAGCAAATTACGTGACACTGTTTTTCTGGTTTGTTTACCGACAATGTCGCATGGCAGATGTGTTCTTTTCTGTTACAGATGATACTCGTCCTCAGACTCCGGACACTGACCTCATTGTGGCCTGCAAAAAGGGGAATCTACAGGCAGTCCATAATATCCTGAATCAGAGCAAGATTGACATCAACAGGAAAGGACAAAATGGTCTCACACCATTGATGTGGGCAGCAAGGAAGGGGCACATAGGCGTCGTTGACTTGCTTGTCGGAAATGGAGCTGAAGTGAATCTCGAGGACGATGCCGGTAACGACATCCTTCTCTGGGCCTGTTATGGAGGACATGTTGCAATGGTGAAACATGTCGTCTCAAAGAAGATGGTGAACATCAACAGAAAAGGGCTGGATGGGAGAACTCCACTCATGTGGTCAGCTCGGCAGGGGAAACTAGCCATGTTTAATTTACTTGTAAGTGCTGCAGGGACACTTCCAGCAGAAGTGGACAGAGATGGAAACAGCATTCTTCATCTCGCCTGTAGGGGTGGGAGTGTGAAGATTGTGGACTACATCCTCTCGCAAGGTGTTTACATCGATGAAAGAGGAGAATCGCAGAGGACACCATTGATGGTGTCAGCATACAACGGACACAAAGAGCTACTTGACTGGCTTGAGAGTAAAGGCGCTGATGTGGCACTAACTGATGATGATGACAACAACGTTCTCCATGTGGCCTGTCTGGGTGGGCATGTGGATATTGTTAGACGTGTCCTCAAGCTGGGCAAGGTGGACATAAACAGTCTCGGTCAATGTAGTAGGACACCTCTGATGATGGCAGCCAGGATGGGGGATAAGGAAATATTTGACTTACTTGTGGAAACAGGAGCTGATGCAACACCAATGGATGCTGATAGAAACACCATCCTACATCTTGCCTCTACGGGAGGGAATCTTGATATAGTAAAGTATGCCCTCGGGATGGAGAATGTGGACATCAATGCCAGGAACAAGCGTAATGAAACAGCGACCATGCGTGCGACAAGTGGAAATGAAGTGTGCAACGTGCTTGTGTCACGTGGTGGCTTCATACAGTAACTGAAAGAGAAGAACCGGTTAATTCTCCAGCTGAAAATGCCCATATGACGGAATTGTTCCGCTTATCAGAAATCTTGAGAGCCTTCCTCATAATCACTTATAGGATGCAGATCAAATGAAGAGAAAACCAAGACGTTCCCATGACGTGCAGACATTACAGATGGGAATATTCAGTTGCAAGTGATTCGAGTCCATGATAGTCACACCTTCGGCTCAAACACTGTACAGACATCCGCCTCGCTGTCCACAGATCAGCAATTGTGAAAAAAGGAAGTAGATGTAGTATGACTGGTATGTTCTGTTTTGATCCTAGCGGGGAGGTGGGGTAGCCTGATGGTTAAAGCGTTGGCTCGTCACGCCGAAGACCCGGGTTCGATTCCCCACATGGGTACAATGTGTGAAACTCATTTCTGGTGTCCCCCGCCGTGATATTGCTGGAATATTGCTAAAAGCGGCGTAAAACCAAACTCACTCACTCACTCACTTTGATCCTAGCATTCTGGAGACTACCTTCTGTTCTTGTGAAAATGCACCAGATGATTAACACCTCTTGTTCTGAAGGCATCGCACGCTGATATTAAAGGAACAGTCTTCAAACTTACAAAGAGCTACCAAGGTGTTACAAAAGAATAGCTGCTGCTGTCAGCCGGCGTCAGGAACAGCAGGAGCTCTTCCTTCAGACGACAGCATTGCTGGACCATCTGACCTGTGTTCACTGAAAGGTCAGTCAGTCAGCTTGTACGTCCAAACATGCACCTCATCGTGTCCCATCCACCAAGACAGTCGGTGGTGTGCACGTGAACATTTACAATGTCTCCACTCACAGAGACAGGACACAGCAGTGGCTTCAAGATTCTCACTGCTGTCATGTATCATGTTTTAATATTAAATGTGTGATGGACAAATCAGGGCTGTCCGCCACACCAGTGCTTGCGATGTTCCGTTACCGATGATGTAGATAGTAGATAGCATTAACTATATTTACATGTGTCTATCAAACCACTGTGTAATGTCTAGTTAGCTATCGAAATGACTGCAAACAAAACTGTTGTTGACGCCGATACTAATGTGAACCACAGGGTCGTGCTTCCAGACAGTTAATACATTGGAGGACATTCCCACTTCTTGCACGTATAGCATGAAGGCTGAGCGAATAGCTTGTGATAGTTGTCTCCCTTAATTAAACCCCCACCCCCTACTTTCCACACTATGGAGAGCCGGGCAATTCAATATTACAGTCAAACATCCGATGTACAACCTTTTCTACTTCCCATATGCACTTCATACTGTTTGCACGTCAGTTTTTTTTGTTTTTTTTTTGTTTTTTTTCATATTTAAACCTACATGGACGAAAACACTACACAGTCAATCGTTAAATAAATATCATTCAGGAACAAACCAGAATGTATTTAGATTGTAACCTGGTTTCATCATGTTGTTATTTTTATACTTATGCTGTGATATATCTGCTTAATGTGGGTATGTGTGTCAGAATAATCAAAACTTGGACTTCACATAGCAATGAATGTTTTACAGAGTTTTACAAGTTTACAAACTCCGCTCAGTTATTTTCTCATATCTTTTTTACTAAAAGAAATTTTAGTTTCTGGCCCAAGTTTGATTGTACTTTCTTCCCACGCCTCTGCAACATCGCTTGTCATCGCTTCCCATCGGGCCCTTTTACATTACTCCTTGCCATTGACGATTTAGGACATGTTGGGCTTTAAGGAGAACGAAACATGTACATTATGTTTGTTCTGATTGATTACACGTTTCGACTTGCATGGTGCTGTATGTAATGTGTGACCTGCCACTGTGCTTCTCCATCCCACTACAGATACAGAGTCGACTTGCATGGTGCTGTATGTAATGTGTGACCTGCCACTGTGCTGCTCCATCCCACTACAGATACAGAATCGACTTGCATGGTGCTGTATGTAATGTCTGACCTGCCACTGTGCTGCTCCATCCCACTACAGATACAGAATCGACTTGCATGGTGCTGTATGTAATGTGTGACCTGCCCATGTGCTGCTCCATCCCACTACAGATACAGAATCGACTTGCATGGTGCTGTATGGAATGTCTGACCTGCAACTGTGCTGCTCCATCCCACTACAGATACAGAGTCGACTTGCATGGTGTTGTATGTAATGTGTGACCTGCCACTGTGCTGCTCCATCCCACTACAGATACAGAGACGACTTGCATGGTGCTGTATGTAATGTCTGACCTGCCACTGTGCTGCTCCATCCCACTACAGATACAGAGTCGACTTGCATGGTGCTGTATGGAATGTATGACCTGCCACTGTGCTGCTCAATCCCACTACAGATACAGAACCGACTTGCATGGTGCTGTATGTAATGTGTGACCTGCCACTGTGCTGCTCCATCCCACTACAGATACAGAATCGACTTGCATGGTGCTGTATGTAATGTGTGACCTGCCACTGTGCTGCTCCATCCCACTACAGATACAGAGTCGACTTGCATGGTGCTGTATGGAATGTATGACCTGCCACTGTGCTGCTCAATCCCACTACAGATACAGAGTCGACTTGCATGGTGCTGTATGGAATGTCTGACCTGCAACTGTGCTGCTCCATCCCACTACAGATACAGAATCGACTTGCTACTTATGACCCCTAGGGGGTTAACACACACACGCTATTTGTATTCACTGTTCAAATTGATTGCATGTTTTAACAAATATTTCTGCAAGATGTTGTTCTACGGCTGTAGCTTAAATATAACATTTTACAGATATCGTATCTTGATTCTTCATTTCAGTATATTGCCAACAGGGAATTGATAGATAATCTTCATTTCCTCCAACTGAATGAAGATTACAATATACAGTTAATGTATAATTTACGTCAAATGATTAACATGGATTAGTGATATAGTTACGAATGTTCACACACATTCAAGGGTTTTAGCGAGTATCGCCATTTGTTTACAAAATGGCTTACATTAATTATTTCTTCTGCCCTCACATCACTTTCTCGTTGTATAATACATTCTGTTGGACATCCACCAAGTAAACCAAGCAAGAATACCATCATCATCTTCCTCCCTTAACGTAACAAGTCTACCTACATCCAGAATCTCACATATGGTGTTGACGAGTACATTTCGGTCGGCCATATTGATCGTACATGACATAAACACGTGCTTTACAATATCATTGGCGACAGTTGTATAATAACATTCTCTTGAAACAATTTCAGCTGATCCATGGAGTACAAGTCTTGCAATATCAGGTAATTCTTCTTCGAGGCTTGCTTCCAGAGATATTGTTAATTAATAGATCTAATGTTCACATTTCTTGGCAGACTAAGTCTTGAATTAAGATAAACATAAAATATATTGTCTCGATGAGACTTAATAGCCTCATGTACGGCTTGGACCAGCATTTCTTATTGCTAAAATGACAATAATTGATATAGTTAACAAGTATATCGCTTAGGTTATACTTAACAAGTTGCAGCATATCATATATCGGGGATTTTCTATTATATACGTTACATGTAGGACTATCTGTATACATAAATTGACACAGGGAAACAGTTTATACCTCGTATTACATAACTTTCCTAATATGTTGAGGGCTCTTTTATCTATGTGATACTGTAGTGTCACGATACGGATACAATCCAATACAACAATACTGGGAGTGCGCTTGTGTAGTCCCTGAACGTTTTAACAAAATTGGTGCTGTACAACTTCAAGCATTTCATAGTCTTTAAGAGCACGTTTACCCCATACGTTACATTCATAGAGGCCCTTTCCCAGAAACGTGCTGCAGATATAGGTTTAAGACCATCAAAACCCATTATTAGGATTAGTGAACATGTACCTTATCATCTGTAAAATAGCTGACCTGTATGCATAAAATATCACGTTTACTTGTTGAACTGTGGTGCGATTTACATATCGTTTTGCATAATGGTGTCGATTGTGACAATGTGTACACATCAAAGGGATATGTGGCTGGCTCTCCTTCAGGCCTGGATGACAGGAGACGTACAACTGGCTGAATCAAGGAACATCAGACATCTGTAAGGAAAACAGACTCCAAATCAGCCATTTCCGACCACACCCAAGCCCACCCGAACCATACCATACTTTGGAACAAAATTAGCATCCACATTAGAAGCCAACCGGTCAGATTACAAGATAAGAAAACTCTTAGAAGCAATCAGCATCAAACGACTCAACCCGGCAATCAATAGAGATCACGGTTATTACCTCCCCACGGCTTACAATCAACTAATCAAGCCTAATCAACAATAACCCATTCTTTGTCTACTGGCTTCAATCATTTGTTATCACAACAAGTCCCCTGTCAACAACCCGTACATCAACCTCTTCTATTGTAATAACGCAATACCCGCAATGTCTATATTTCTCCTTATGCAAATGTGTATCATTTGCTTGATAACGGTGTTAGGATCTACACCGAAACGTCGCAACTACTACTGCAACAAAGAAGTGTCTATCCCCAAAAAGTGTTCCACTTCATCATACCAGCTTCTCAATGCCACGTAAGGAAGATATCCGGTGTTCGACCCCCCTGTGGGTGCAATGTGGGAAGCATGTTCCTGGTGTGCCACTCCGTGATATTGCGAGACTATTGCTGAAAGTGGCGTAACACTGTTTATTACCCACGTGGTCAACGTATGGGTAGTTGCATACTAATCTCGTACGTCACACGTGTCGTATCGCGTTGACCTGTGTCGTAACGACTTGACCTGAGATTCTAACGATTTGATTGGATAACCGATGACCTCTCAATTAGGTCACATTCTGACGTAACTATTTTTCATTCTTAACAAACACGTGAATTCATTCATTCTACAACTTAAATGCATTGTGGGAATGTAAACATCGCGAACGTTGCCGTGTCGCTATTTAATTGTGAGTCGAACTGAGACATTATATCCTTCGAAAAACATAAACGCAATGTTTCCACCAGTGATGTTAGCCGAATGAAGCAACTGC